CGGACATACAACAAAAAAACACCCCGAGACGGCCCAAAAGGGCACCAATACGACCCAAAATTGCCCCAAAAGCGTTTCAAAAAGGCTCCACGCGGGCCCCGAGAAGACCCTGACGAGGCCCCAGAGACGTTCAAGGACACCATGGCTTCCATCAGCGAGCGGGAACGTGGCAAGCTCTTGACACCAAGGCTCCCAGGGCGCGGTGACGTAAAAAGCTCGTCACACAAAGGCTCCCAAGAGCGAGCGGCAACGTAAAAGTTTCTGAACACTAGGGCTCCTGACGGAGACGGCGACGTAACAAACTCTTCACACCAAGGCTCCCAAGAGCGAAGGGTGCCGTGAGCCCTCTCGGGCCACTTCCTGAGGCGCTCTTTCCGTTTCCGTGTGCCGGCCCAGGTGACGGAAAGAGCGAGGTACGAGCGAGAGACGTTTCGCAGGGGGCGAAGCCTTTATAGGGAGGGGGTCCGGGGGAGGGGGCAAGCCCGGACGAGATGGTCTAAGTGCCCTCGCGCCTTGTATTTTTCCCGGAAAAGGCCTGAGCCCAGGGTTCTCTTTTAGTTGGTTTCCCCCCGGTTTTGACGGCTGTAGGGCCGGCGAATTTCTTTTGCGATAAATAACGAGGTCGCGTAGGGCCGGCGAATTAAAAATTGAGGATGTCCCTAGCGAAACGCTTGTTTTTCAGAATTTGTTGAGGATGTCTCGAGCGAGACGCTGGTTTTGCAGAGTTGGGGATGTCTCGAGCGAAACGCTTGGTTTCAGAATTTGTTGAGGATGTCTCGAGCGACACGCTGGTTTTGCAGAGCCGACCGCGACACGGAAAAACGCCACTCGCGCAGGAATTCCAAGGATGTCTCGCGCGTGCCGCGTCCCGCGGGCGGGTATTTGGATTTGTTGGGGTTTTGACAGGATGTCTCGAGCGAAACGCTTGTTTTTCATAATTTGTTGAGGATGTCTCGAGCGAAACGCTGGTTTTGCAAAATTGGAGGATGTCTCGAGCGGTGGCCTCGTGGGGGGCCAGAATTCAAAGGATGTCTCAGGCGAAATGCTTGTTTTCACGTCCCGCTCGCAGGAATTCCGAGGATGTCTCGCGCGTGCAGCGTCCCGCGCGTAGGAATTCAGATGATTTTGACAGGATGTCTCGAGCGAAACGCTTGTCCCCAGCACGTTCCGTAGCGCGTCCCCTTGGCAGGTCCCGCGGTGCGTCCCCATGGCACGTCCCTTGGCACGTCGCTTGGCGCGTCCCTTGAGACGTTCTGCGTCGCGTCCTCCTGGCATGTTCCCCTGTCCATTAGCTCTGGGGCAGCTACTATGTGTTCAGGCAGCTCGAGCTTAAGATCCAGATCAGTTCGGTCAGGACTCGGATGCAAAGGAGGACTCGATCCACGAGGCTATAGAGCACAATCGCGCCATGGCACATCGCAATTCAGCACGGCGCAGCACAGCACTGATTTCGGCACGGTACATCAAGGTCGATACACTCAGCATTGCAACTTGGCACGTTCCTTGGCACGTTCCGTGGGGCGTCCTTTGGCGAGTCCCCCTGGCACGTCGCGTGGCGCGTCCCCTGGCACGTCCCGCGGTGCGACCCCATGGCACGTCCCCTGGCACGTCGCCTGGCGCATCCCTTGGGACGTTTCGCGGCGCGTCCTCCTGGCATGTTCCCCTGTCCATTAGCTCTGGGGCAGCTACTATGTGTTCAGGCAGCTCGAGCTTAAGATCCAGATCAGTTCGGTCAGGACTCGGATGCAAAGGAGGACTCGATCCACGAGGCTATAGAGCACAGTCGCGCCATGGCACATCGCAATTCAGCACGGCGCAGCACAGCACAGCCCTCGGCAGGGTACATCAAGATCGATACCTTCAGTATTGCATTTGCCCGTCACCCAATCAGGTGTCTTTGAAAACGCTGCCATGTGTTACAGTTCTACATTCCTTTCCGGGTTCGTGGGTCGATCATGTTTTCGAGTGAAGCGGCTCGTGGTCGCGTTCCATGGCCCGTTTCCTCGTATATTTATGAGTGCAGCGATTCAAGGGCCCCAAGAGGGCCCCACAACGACCCAAAGACGGCCCAAAGAGAGCCACAAGTGGCCTCCAGACGGTCCAAGAGAGCCTCGAGACTATGCCAGAGGCTCTCCAAAGAGCCCCCGAGAGGGCCAGAGGACGCCAACAAAAGTTATTTCCCTAGTGTTTTCGCAGGTTTCGGTTCCTCGCGTTTTTCGGGCCCAGAGGGGTCCCAGACGGCCCAAGAGGCTTCAAATATTGTCCCCAGACAGCCCCAGAGGCGCCGCAAAGTAGCCGAAAACCGTCCAAGGGTGCCCCCAGACGGTCCCAGAGGGCCCCCAGACAGCCAAGAGGGCCCCAGGACGGCCCAAGAGGACCCAAGACGGCCCCAAGAGAGCCCCAAGAGGCCCAAAGAGGGCTCAGCGAGGTTCCCAAGAGGGGCCCAATAGGCCCCCTATAGAGCACCAAGACGGCCAAAGGCTTCCAAGACGCCCCGAGACGGCCCAAAAGGGCGGCACAAAATTGCCCCAAAAGGGCTCCCGAGGGGCTCCAAAAAGGACCCCAAGAAGACCCCGACGAGGCCCCAGAGACGTTCAAGAACATGGTTCCCATCAGCGAGCGGTGACGGAACAAGCTCTTGACACCAAGGCTCCCTCGAGCGCGGTGACGTACAAAGCTCGTCACACCAAGGCACCCAAGAGAGAGCAGCAACGTAGCAGTCTCTGAATACCAGGGCTCCCAACGGAGAGCGGCGACGTAACAAGCTCTTCACACGAAGGCTCCCAAGAGCGAAGGATGCCATGATCCCTCTCGAGCCAGTTCTTGCGGCGCTCTTTCCGTTTCCGTGCCGGCCCAGGTGACGGAAAGACCGAGGTACGAGCGAGAGACGTTGCGGTTGGGGCGAAGCCCTTATGGGGAGGGGGGTCCGCGGGACATCCTTGCGGCCTTCTTGGGGCCTCCTGGGCCTCTTGGGGCGGAAGACGCAGATTTAGGGGGTCGTGTTCCTCCTCTTGGGCCCTTCTTGCGGTTGTCTTTGGGCCCTTTTGGGCCGTCTTGGGCGCCTATGGGGCCGGTTTGGAGCCCTGTTGGGCCGTGTTTGGGCCCTCCTGGGGGCTCTTGGGCAGGTGTGGGGGCGGTCCTGAGGCCTTTTGGGCCGTCTTGGAGCGTCAGGAGCTCGAACAGTCGAGGGCCCACAAGTCATTGACAAGAACAATGGACATTGAATGGTTGGGACGGCGCTTTGGGCTTTCTTGGGGCGCCTCGTAGGCCTCTTGGGGCCATTTTGGGCGTTTTGGTGCGATCTTTGGGCCTCTCGGGGCCGCTTGGACCGTCTTGGGGGCCTGTCGTCCGTCGCCCGTCGTCCGTCGTCTGTCGTCCGTCGCCAAAGGGCGGACCACGGACGATTAACGACGACGACGACGACGACCGCCAGACGACAACGACGACGACGTGCGACGGACGATTGACGACGACGACGGACGGTTGACGACGGACGACAACGACGACGATGATGACGACGTCGACGACGACGGCGGCGACGATGACGCACGACGACGACAACCGACGATCGTCGACGACGACGACCGACGACGACGACGACGACGACGACAACGACGACTACGACAACGACGACGACGACGACTACGACGACGACGACGACGATGACGCTTATGACGAGGGGCGACGGCAGACGGACGACGACGACGACGGGCGACGACGGTGACCACCACCACTACGACAAATGATCGACGGACGACAGACGGCGGCGAAGCCGTGGACCGTCGACGGACGACAGCCGACGGGGTGGCGCCGTCGCCGGACGACGGGTGATGGACGACAGACGGCGACGAACGACGCACGACGCACGACGGACGGACGGACGACGGACAGACGGCGGCGACGGCGTCGACCGCCACCGGACGACGGACGACGACGACGCGACGACGACGGACGGCGGACGACCGACGATTGACGACAACGACGGACGACGGATGATGGACGACGGCGACGGCGTCGACGGACGAGGACCACAACGACGACGATGATGACGTCGACGTCGACGACGCCGATGGTGGACGACCCACGACCGACGGCCAAAGACGACGACGACGTCGACGACGACGACGACGACGGGCGACGGACGACGGACGACGGACGACGACGATGACGACGAGCATCGACTGACGACTGATGACGACGACGGACGGCGGACGGCGGACGACGACCATGCTGACGACCGACCACCGACGACGGACGACGAGGACGACGACTGATCGACGGACGGATGGACGACCGACGACGACGACGACGACGGCTTAGGCGTCGACCGCCCACGGACGACGGACGATGGGGTGGCGACGACGAGGGACGACGACGACGACGACGACGACGACGACGACGGATGGCAGACGACGGACGGCGGACGAGGGACGACGACTACGACGACAACATCAACGACAACATCAACGACGACGACGACGAACGACGGACGAGGGGCGACGGCTACGACGACGACGACTACGACGACAACATCAATGACGAAGACGACGACTAAGACGATGACGATGACGATGATGGACGACGGCGACGACGACGACGACGTCGACGACGACGACGATGGGCGAGTGACGACGGCCGACGGACGACGACGACGGACGACAGACGACGGACGACGGTGACGGGGGACGACGGGCGACGATGACAACGATGACGACGCTGACGGCGACAACGCCGACGACGATGACGGGCGACGGACGGGCGCACGACGGGCGACGGACGACGGACGACGGATGACGACGACGACTTGTCGACGACGACGACGCACGACGACGACAGGCGACCGACGACCGACGACGGACGACGACAACGCTGGCGACGACGGGGACCAACACCACCACTATGACGACTGATCGACGGACGGACAGACGACCGACGACAGTCGACGGCGACGGCGACGTCCGCTGGCGAACCACCGACGACTTGGCGGCGCCGTCGCCGAGGCGATGTCCTCCATGCAGCGAGAGATGATTCGCGCAGGCTTGGCCCCGAGGGGAGCGGTCCGCGGCGCTACCACCTGGGCCCCTGCCTCCCGGGCCGCCGGGCGAGCAGGAGGAGGAGGAGCAGCAGGAGGAGGAGGAGGAGGGCCGCGGTGCTCTACTGGGTCGTCGCAGAGAACTACACTCGTTACCGGACGTGCTATGTGTCACTGACTGGTACACAGTTTTCAGACCTCTCGGTTTTTCATTTGCCCGCCCCTCTTTCGATGCTCAATTTTGCAATTCCTGGGCTTGAGCTGCGGTTGGATAGTTTGGTCCGCGTGGCGTGCGCGAGGAGCGTTGTTGTCGTGGACGTCAGTTTTTCTTGGGCAGTTGCGTGCTCGTCTTTTCTAGTCCAGAGCATGAGACGCCTTCCGACGTTCGACCCATGTTCGCCATCATCTCCATCGGAGCGGGGGGGTGGAACGGGGGGGGAGGAGGGCGCTGGGGTCGGCGGGGTGGCGGTGGCAGAAGTGAGGATTGTCGGGAGGCTCATGGTGGGCAGGGCCGGTGGTGTCCAAACTTATCACCTACCCTCCGAGTAGGCAAGAGGGGGAGCAGTGAACAGAGGCCGTGCCTCCCTGTGCCTCCCCCCCTGCTTCCTCCCCCCCGTGTCTTCTCTTACTACCTTTCGCTCTCGCCCTGTTCCTTATCTCTCTCTCTCTTTCGTTCCTCGCCCCCCCCTCGGTCCTCTCTCGCCCCCGTCTGGTCACCCCCTCCCTGAAGGGGCCGCGCGTCTCTGTTCAGCGAAGGTAACTGCGCTTCAACGGGGGGCATCCAAGAGGACGGATGCCCTGGCGGAAGGCCGGAGGAAGCGAGTGCACTGTCGTGGCCCAGTCAGGGCCCGGTTCCGCCGTGCTCGAGCGGTATCTGCTCGACCGCGACGTCCTGAATGTCGTGAAAGCAGGCGCGTGGTTTGACTCGGCGGAAGATGTCGCCGTAAATGGGCGGTATAGCCCCCGTCGACGGCATTGGGCCCTACACTGCGTTTTACGCGAGTGTAGAGGCGGCAGCGAATGCATCCGTGCATGGTGCTGCGCGCGCAGACTTGGCCAGTGGCACGTCGAGAGTGTTGACGCCGGTACGTGCGTCCGGTGCACACGCTGTGGTGGCGAAGCCAGCACAGGCTTCCCAGGTTAGCGGCAGACGTAAGCGCCGCAAACAGAGCGGTGAGGTTACCTGCCAGGATCGTGAAAATGCGTTCTTGGATGTGCAGCTCGAAAGGTGTGAGGAACTGGCACGAAAGCTTTCTGCGCATTCCCCCCGGATGCAACGATTCATGCGGCGTGGGCTCGCCTGGTGCGACCAAGTGGATCTTCTGAGGCCGTTGTTTACGAAGAGAGCGACTGTGGCGACCACGCTCACATCCCACCTCCGATTTCTGAATCGCTTGAGGTATTGTGAGGTATTGGGCAGAGGCGGCGGGACGAGATCCGTGGGTGCTAGACGCTGAAGATATCGCTCTCCACCTGCGGGATGCTCGTCAGAGGGCGCGTCAGTGCCCAGATCTACTTTCGCATCCCTGCTGTGGGCACAAGAGATCTTCGAACTCAAGTGGCCGCTCGCCGACTCAGTGGTGGAAGCGCAGAAAACGGCGTCCACCAGGCAAGTGGAAGAGTCCAGGCAACAGGCCCCGCCCTCACCCAGGAGATCGCGGACCAACTCTTGGGCGCATTTTTTTCGTTGCAGCGGCGTCTGGCGACCACGGCACTGTGATCACGATGGGCTTTATCATGGTCCTGGCTTTCGCGTGTTTGCGGTGGTCAGACTTGCAACGGTCGGCAGCGTGCGCTTTGTCCCCAGGTGCAATATATGCGGAGACATGGCGATCGAACAAGAAGATCGGCAAGACCCCGTGGGCCGCGCCGCGTCGTGACTGGCAAGGGCGGGACTGGGGCGGCCCGCTCTGGACGACGATCTCGATGTACGTGGATATTCGCAGTGCTGTTTTTGTGGTTCCGGCTGTCTCTTTTCATTTGGGAGTTTTCGTGATTCTGCAGCCAGCGAGGCCAATGTCGTATTCGGGTGCACTGAACGCTATGCGACACGCCTTGCGGGTAGTCGGCGTCGCTGGGGACGTGACGGAGCCGTCGCTGCACAGTCCGCGGTTCTTCTTGCCTTCCCTGGCGGGCCAACTGCGTTTTCCCATGGAAGAGCGCAGAACGCTGGGTCGTTGGGGCCCCGCGTCGGGCATGCCAGTCCGGTATGACAGGGCGCGGTGCGCGACCGAGTTGCTATTGAAATATGAAATCGTGGAGCGGCTTCGTGCTGGATTCAAGCCTGCCGGGGCCTTCGAGCTTCCGGGGCGCTGGGATATTCGCCCAGCGGACACGCCTGCCGCCGCGCCAGAGTGCGACGGGCGAGAGTCTCCCACAGCCCCTGCGCGGGAGTCTGAGGCTGTGGCCTCCGCGAAGCAAGTCGGTCTGGTGGTGAGCTCGAGCAGTAAGGTTCTGCATGGGCAGTCAGCCGAGGAGCTGAAAAGGGCGGTGTGCGCCTTCTGGTGGGCGTGTTCCCGCCGATCGGTGGAAGCAGTTTCGGGCATGCCTCAGCGCTACGTCGACCAGGGCTACGTGCGCTGCGGGAAGTGCTGGTCGCACGCGCGCACAGGCTTGCTCGAATGGCAGGGGGGGGAGAGCGCGAGCGCAGACGGCGGACCGCCACCTGGGGATACGCGAGATTCCGATGCGAGTGACGGGTCTGCCAGCGCCGACACCAGCGACGCCCGGTAAGGGGCACGTGTTGGGTGGGATCACCTGCTCGCCGTTTGGAGTGTCCAGGCCTGGCAGGAAGCGCGTTGGGATGAGGCCTGGACAAGGCCGCGTGCCCCCAGCCACAGACAGAAGACAGCACTGCACACCTATAGCCAAAGAGAGTCCCAGAAAAGTGGGGAGGTAGGAGGAAGGAAAGAAAGGGGGGAAGGAAGAGGCACTGGAAGGACGGGAGGAGGTAGAGTGATAAGTGTCGGGAGGCTCATGGTGGGCAGGGCCGGTGGCGTCCAAACTTATCACCTACCCTCCGAGTCCAGGCAAGAGGGGGAGCAGTGAACAGAGGCCGTGCCTCCCTGTGCCTCCCCCCCTGCTTCCTCCCCCCCGTGTCCTCTCTTACTACCTTTCGCTGAAGGGGCCGCGCGTCTCTGTTCAGCGAAGGTAACTGCGCCTCAACGGGGGGCATCCAAGAGGACGGATGCCCTGGCGGAAGGCCGGTGGAAGCGAGTGCACTGTCGTCGCCTCCTGCTGCTTTTACTTCGGGCCCCCTGGGGCAGAAAAGCGTGAGCGTGGCATGCCGTAGCGTCTTTGTGCGTTGGTTGTCGTGGCGGCGGCGGTGCCCGTTGCTCGGAGGATGTCGCCTCGAGGCCCTCCGGCGGAACATCGCGTCGCAGCAGAGATCCGCAATCGATGGCGCAGTGGGCCCTGCGATCGTCCCTCCTCCTCCTCCTCTGCCTTTGCTCGTGCTCCTCCTGCTTCTCGCAGCTAGCTGTCCGTAGCCATATCGGCTCAGGCAGCGCGCCAATACAGCGCCAGCGAAGTCCCACAAATCCGCCCTAGTGACCTTGGATAAGACATGGCAGGGCTAGACGTGCGCCTGTCGAAGCTGCTCCAAAAGCACGGGGTGGACCCCCGCGTCGCAGATTATTTGAAGTCCAACGGCATGGTGAATATAGGCCAGTTTGCTGGCCTGGCGGACTCCAAAACAGACTCCGTCGTTGGGATCTGCGTCCCGGCAGGGCTAGATGGGACAGACCGTCCTTTTGTGCCAGCCTGTCAAGGCAGCCTGGCAGGAAGCCGAGGCCCTCGTCGCAGGTGAGTTCGACCTGATCCGGAAGGGCAAGGGCGGCGACGTGGACGTCCCGATCGACCCACAGGTGCGCGAGAAGAAAACGGCGAGCTTCGTGGGCCACTACCACATTCGCCTCCCGGCGCACCTCATGGGGAGCGACGCCTTGGCGGGCCGCCTGGTCCGCGAGCACGAGCGGCGCGCCCCCACGGTCCACGACCTGCGCAAGGTCCGCGCGCTGAACAGCGAGGCGGGGATCTCGGCGTCTGGCGGTGGCGCCGGCGCCCAGAACAGCGACGACTCCTCCGGCACCCTGACCGCCGACGGGTTCATGTATAAGCACAGGGTGCTCATGAACACGTTGGCCTTGGCGGCTGCGCCCGACTGGGCGTCTGCGGACTGGTCCGTCTTGCTCGACTACCACGAGTGGGTTGTCCTCAAACTGCTCGAGCGCAAGAACGGCCGCAAGCCCACCGTGGACGCCGTCATGGAGGCGGACCGCCAGATGAGGGCCAAGTGGGTTGAGGCAGTCCGCAACGACAGGAAGTCCCTCACGGAGGCCGTCCAGACGTGCCGCACGGAATGGGTGTCCTTGTTTTCGGAGCTCCACAGCGACCGTTCCGGCGCGGTCGAGGGCCCGCAGGAGGCGCCTCCGAAGAAGGCCCGCGTGGGTGTTCCGCGCGTGGAGTCCGTCGGTGGCAAGCAGGTCTGCACGTTCTACAACGAGGGGAAGTGCACCTACGGGAAAAAATGCAAATACCTCCACATGTGCAACGTCAAGGGGCGCGGCCAGGAGCACCCGGCGTGCGAGGCCCACAATGGGGCGTGAGCCCCCGCCCGCCCGAGCCACGCGCCATCCCAGGGAGGCTTGGTTGACGATAGTGAAGACGTTTCTGGGCCACCAGAGAAGCGTCTGAGGGCGTCATCTGAGAACTCGCAAGGTGTGGAATGGCAGGACCCGGCCGGCGCGGCCCCAGCGCCAGCGCGGGCTGCCCGCGCGGTGGCGGGAGGACTGCAGCCTCGCGGCGCTGGCGGCCCCCCTCTCGCGCCGGAGGGCGTGGGGCCCGACGGTTTCCTGCACCGCGTGGCGTCCGTGGCGCACCCCGCGCAGGCGCCGCCTGTCCTGCGCGACGCCGCCGGCGCAGCTTACCAGCGACAGCCGGCCGACGCAAGCGAGCTTGTCGAGAGGAGAATGCGGGCGCGCGCGCAGATCTCGGAGTGGTCGAA